ACAATGGAATATTATGCAGCCATCAAAAGGAATGACATCTTGCCATTTGCAACGATGTGGATGGAACTGGAGAGTATTATGCTGAGCAAAATGTCAATCAGAGAAAGACATGTATCATATGATCCCACTGCTATGAGGAATTCTTAATCTCAGTAACAAACAGAGGAATTGCTGGAGTGGTGGGGGGGTGGGAGGGATGGGGGGCCGGGTGAGAGACATTGGGGAAAGTATGGGCTATGGTGAGTGCTGTGAATTGTGTAAGACTGTTGAATCACAGACGTGTACCTCTGAAACAAATAATACATGGTATGTTAAAAAAAAGAAGAAGAAGATAGCAGGAAGGGAAAAATGAAGGCACTGGGAATCGGAGGGGGAGATGAACCATGAGAGACTATGGACTCTGAAAAACAAACTGAGGGTTCTGGGGGGGAGTGGATGGGTTAGCCTGGTGATAGGTATTAAAGAGGGCACATACTGAATGGAGTACTGGGTGTTATACGCAAACAATGACTCATGGAACACTACATCAAAAACTAATGATGTAATGTATGGTGATTAACATAACATTAAAAAAAAAAGGTTTCAATAAGCTCCACAGTCTCTCAACATAATACTCAAAATATCCTGGCTGCAACTAAACATCACTCATCATAGAAGGAACAAGGAAAATTTCAACCTGAATGAGAAATGCAACCAATACCAACACCTCGCTGATGCAGATGTTAGAATTATCTGACAAGGGTTTTAAAACAGCCATCATAAAAAGTGCTTCAACAAGCAACTATAAACATGTTCAAAATAAATTTAAAAAAAGAGAAAGACTGAGCAAAGAAATATAAGAAGGAACTAAATGGAAGTTTTAGAACTGAAAATAAAAAAATAATAAAACTTAGCGATGAGTACAGCAGCAGAGGAGAGAATCAATGAACAAGAAGATAAAACCATAGAAACTGCCCATTTGAGCAACAGAGAAAAACAGACTGAAAAAAGTGATCAGAGCCTCAGAGACCTGTAGGACTAAGTGAAAAGGTCCAGTATCTGAATTATTAGAATCCCAGGAGGAGAGAAAAGAGAGAGTAGGGCTAAAAAATCTCAAGGAAGTAATGGTCGAAAACTTACAAATTTATTAGGAGACATAAAGCTGCAGATTCAAGAAGCTAAAGCACGGTAATCAGAAAACAACAAAGAAATTCATGCTCAAACACATCACAGTAAAATCTGACAACAAAGAAAGAAACCAAGAAAGAAAGGAATTTTGAAGGCAGCTAGGAAAATGACACCTTACCCAAGGGAAAAACAATTCCAAGGACAGTGTATTTCTCAACAGAAACCAAGGAAGCCAGAAGGAAGTAACCCAATATTTTTCAATTGCTGAAAGAGAAGAGCTGTCAATACAGAAGAGAAAAAAAATGATAAAGGAGGGAATCTTGGAACACTAGGAAGAAAAAATGAACACAGTAAACAAAAATATAGATAAATTCATTAGGCTTTCCTTTTCCTCTTGAGTTTCCTAAATTACATTTAATGGATTAAGCAAAAATTATAACACTGTCTAATGTTCTAAGCATATATAGAAGAAATATTAAATAAAATTGTATTATGAATAACGGAGGATAAATGGGTGTAAAAAGGAGACAGTGTTTTTAGACTTCATTCAAATTGGTGAAATGACATCACTAGTAGACTCTGTTAGTACTTAGAGCAACCATTAAAAAAAGCTATACAGGAAGATACATCTAAAACACTGTAGATAAATTAAAATTGAATTCTAGAAAATGCCAAATAACTCACAGAAATTCAAAGGAAAAAACACAGGAAAACAAAAAACAATGAGAATAAGAAAATAAATAAATAAAATGCAGATTAAGCCACAAAATATCAATGAAATTAAAATCAAATTATATAAATACATCAATTAAGATACAGAGACTGCTCTGCATATACCAATGAAAAGACAGTTAAAATAAAAATGGATTTAAAAAACATAACCCAATTATAACTGTGTACAGGAAATTCATTTTATTTTTTTATTTTTATTTTTTTAAAGATTTTATTTATTT